AACATGAAAAGATTGCAAAATATCTGTCGACACCCAGTTGGCGGTAAAAATGCTTTGCAAATAGTTCAGTCATGGATTTACAAAATCTGAGGATCTGAGGATTGTGAAATGCCCTTGTCAGTTTTCAGATATTGTGATGATATTATTTTCAATACATTTAATCAGATTTTGTTTGATAATATCTTTGTAAGGAGTAGTGATCTGTCAGTTGAATAAAATGCCTTTTGAAAGTCTACAAAGCAACTGTATATTCTTTTCTAATTACTTTTTGTAGAATATGTAAATGTTCAAAGAACAATACACTATGTTCGGTATCCCCTTCTAAATTCAGACTGACAGACTGGACAATCTTGTAGTAGAGTTTATTACATGTGTGCCATGTGTTTCATTATTCTTTCATTTACCCAAGCAGCTGCTCCGTCTGGATTTAGACTTATCACCCTTGTCATGTAAGAATTCATTGGATTAGAGCTTGCTGGAGCTGACTAGTCTTGCTTTTGTATACATATCTAGATTGTTTTTGTTTTTGTTCATAAAATAGATATATTTCTCAATCATGGTGCATTAGTAAACTCTGTGGGAAATGACTACTATTTCATACGGTAAACAGTTAACCAACTGGTCTATCAATGTACATTATATTGCATTTAAAAGTTATTTCCTTATGTCATCTTCTCCTGGTCTTGAATTGTTTAATAAAAGTGCTAATTTCACTAGCTGTTATGTGTTTTCTTACGTCTGTCACATATCTCTTTGTTGTAAATATTCCTGAAGTTGTCTGTTAGGTCCTCAGGATAAACAAATTCTAATATTATTGCAGATATAATAATGAATTCAAAATGGTTTCACAGCATTAGATATTAATTTGCCATTATTTGAAATGCAATGTTTACCAACTTTTAAACTATAAATAGTGTGAGTGAGTGAGTGAGTGAGTGAGTATGGTTTTATATACCAGCAATATCACGGCTGGGGACTCCAGAAATGGGCTTCACACATTGTACCCATGTCGGGAATCGAACACGGGTCTTCGGCGTGACGAGCCAAAGCTTTAACCACTAGGCTACCCGACAGCCACCTATAAATAGTAAAAAATAAAAATTAGATTGCCTGTAACTGGCAGCGGTTCAAGAAGGGAATATTCGTCCATTAGTCCCATTGATCAGAAAGGCGCTTCAGCAGCATTATTGTATACCTCCAGGTGGATGTTTCGTTGTATCATTTGGGGATAATTTAACAAGCAACATAAAATGAAATATTCTACAATGACGAAAGAATACTGAGTATACAATAAATCTCAATTGTTCAAATAGATGTTTCAAATCCAAATAACTTAATGCTTTTATATCTACATTGTGCCCTTGTTCGTGTTCTCTTGTTCGATTCAACAAATAGCCCAAACCGGTGACTCAACACCATATCCGATAACACTGACCCGGGCTGGCCCTAGCGGGATTCTTCCTACACGTCAGTTCTTCATACGATACTGACGCCCTTGTATGTCTCCCAGACCATAGAGAAACTTATATGGAGTCTAACTTAAGTCAAGAACGATTTCGCAAGTCTAGATTGTCTTACGTCTAGCCCTGAAAGTAAACATTATTCTGAGCTCCTTTAATTTTATTTTGTAGATCAGTTTACTGACATTGGTACCACTACTGATGAAGCTGTGAAGCTCCAATATGAATATTAAAGTGTCATCCATTGATGTCGATGCATCGATGATAAGTTAGGATATCATATAGTTATCGTTGATGCGGCCCTACACTATAATATAACTTGTAATCAAGTTGATGAGTATGTACTTTTCTACAATGAACGTGTACATGATTATGCACTTCATAATATAAAATACTAATATTTTATTGTGCGATGAATTTCACTGGATACAAATACAAATAATAAAATTAAAATAGTTGGTACTACATACGTATATGGTTTTCTTTTAAATGATTGCAGCGCTCCATTTTGAAAACAAATTGTGTGTGCTGTTTAATGCAGTTCTCAGCAATATTCCAGTGATATGATGGTGGTCTGTTGTATAAGAAATAAATGCATATTGAATCTTGAATCTTGAAAGTTGTTACTTTCCCGCAAATAAGTATCACATGCAGCATACAGTATATCAAGTGCAATATACAAGCAGTATACAGAGAGTGTTACAAGCTCGACACTGGGCAGGAGCACGCATTCCCTTCTCTCTTAGGCAAACACCTCATAGGAGGTCACAGGTCAGGCGTGCACTCGTCAGTTGTCTTATACGGCCAAGGGGAAGAGTACGTGACATTTACATGCCCTGTTCTTACCCTTAAGCTGGACCCATGCCACATGATGACAACAGATGATTAATGTCCACAAGATGACTAGCAGACGACACATATGTGATTTTTAAATAAGAACATTAGCACAAATAAATCGACTCATCTTGTAATTATAAGAGTTTCAAGATACCAAACTGCAATCGAGCCTATTAAGTTTCTGAAATTTATAGCATTTAAACATTTGCTCCGATCATATCTACAATGTATTTATTACAAAATAAAAGCTTTGAAGCTCAGCATGATTCGGTCTACTTTCGCCTCCAGTGACTTTTGCGAAATAGCGATGTGGTGTGTGTATGTGTGTGTATGTGTGTGTGTGTGTGTGGGTATTTATGTCTTCATACTCCAATATTTACATTAACATTACTTTGTATATTTTATGCTGTAAACGACATTATGTCTCTCATAACCCTCTAGGTCATTTAGTGTAAAATAACATAAATCATTGCACGCCTTTGTTTGGATAGCACTGAGGGCAAAATGAACGCATGTGGCTTTCATATAAGAACTGACTTCATTGAGTCCGAACCTTCATAGAATGAGTGCTAATCTGTATGAATGTCAGAGCATTCACACAATGAAAGTAAATTCTTATCATTTTTATATCACTATTGCCCGTGTGCTTACACTTTGTTCCTGACCTTCTTGGGTGAAGGATGTGGCAATCTCTATCATCCATTAAAAAACAACAACACTTGGGCATACCACCATTCCTATTGGAAATATGACAATTCCAATATTTGGCAAGGTCATATTTCCAAGCAAGGATTTGTTTTGATTTGTTTTGATTTGTTTGGAAATGTTTGGATTTGTTTGGAAATGTTTGGAAATGTTTGGAAATGTTTGGATACAACATGTCATAATCATATCTCTTAAACGTTGAACAACTTTTGACCTTATGTGAGATTAGTAATGACATGAAAGTAAATAAATTAAGAGTATTTTGGCACTATGTACCACAAAAAGACCAAATCATGAGCAAATTTAACTAAAAGAATTTCTGTCATTTAAATTGGCTACTCTTTATATTTAATTTAATCTTCCTTGTCTATAATCATATGACATTGACTATGAACTTTGAACAATTAAACAAATATTTTGTTTTCCCATACCGACTTACGGTTGTCGTAGAACAAAGACCGTTTCGAGAATATAGAGGCCTCATTATTATAATTTGAACTAATATACATATGTACATAATAGTACTAGGTATAAATGAATTAGGGGCAGTCGGGTAGCCTAGCGGTTAAAGCGTTCGCTCGTCACGCCGTAGACCCGGGTTCGATTCCCGACATGGGTACAATGTGTGAAGCCCATTTCTGGTGTCCCCCAGCGTGATATTGCTGGAATATTGCTAAAAGCGGCGTAAAACCAAACTCACTCACTATTAATGAATTTTGATAAGTGTTCGTACAAGAATATGAACTTCGAATTATCTCGGAATTTTGCACAACACATAAGGCTGGAAATTTTATTTATAATTGTTCTGGAACTATCTGACGGTAATTCAAAACAGGGAACAAGATTTCGTCAAATGAATCATTGAGCCAGGAATGCAACGATTTAAATGCTGACAAAATGAATAAACATATCTGGAACAGAGTAGACTGTTCATGCGGACAATTATATGCTACGTCTATTGCCAATGAAGTTTATCACCCCATGTTATAGCATTTGTTTCATATAAAAGATAGAAGCCAAATAAATGGGACAATTAGTTGTTATGAATTAGCTTTACCTCTGTGACATATCACGCAACTAAATGTGAATATGTTTATCAAATAATTAATTACAGTAATTAACCTAGTATCCTTATTTAAACACAATTTAATTACGTATTGGGGTACAATATATAATACACATATACACGGAATGATTTATTATTTTGTCAATTTAATCATAACCCAAATCATACAAATCAAAATGTTAAAGTATTGACTAACTTTATGATCAAGGGTATAAATACTCAATTGTATCTATTAATCCTAATAGTATAACAATAAACCCTGTGTATATACTGAGCATATTTAGATACATCCGGATCTACGACCGCAGCCATATAATCAATCAAGGAAAGTATATTAGATTGAATTACAAATGTGCTATCACTTAAACAAAAGTTTCCGTTATCCACGTAAACCTACACCTGGGAGAAATAAAGTTCTGTTCTGTTCTGAAGACGCCGTCATGATTAGTTGGCGCCACCATGTGTAATACTTCAGGGTACTTGATTGTTTAATTTGCAGTTATATCACTGAGTAATGATAGAATACATTTTGTTGTTTTTGTTAACGATCGTTTCCATTTTCAATGTGGTAACCTTTAAGTGATTAACTTTTTATCATAATGAAATAAACCAAATTAAAATAATCAGAGGGACTGACGATCGCATTTTTCGCATAAATGTCGTGCTCGCATTAATTTCATGATTTACTGAAGATAGATTTGAACATTTCTGAGCAACGATCATGTTTGGGTAAGGGAAGTAATCTTGTCTCCGCTTGCAATTGGATTCAGTTCCGAGATCGCAGCTTGACTGTTCGGTATGGCCAAAAGGCGGCATCCATGTTGTTCACGCTCCGCTGATCACGGGGCCTCATTTGTCTGTATTCTGCTTATGAGCCGGGATGCGCATGAAACACGGGTGTCAAAACGAATATATTTACCAATTATACGTACGGTCAATTAGCCAGTCCAAGAGACAATACCCTGGTTCTACCACCTCTAGGTGTAATTACGTCGCATGCCCCTGGTTCACGGTTCGTCTGATCTCCCGTCATAAAACCACGATGTTTATTTCCCTGGAGCCTCCGACAGCGCCGACTTCCTGTGTACATGTACGTACATGGCAATAAATGGTTTGACAGTTGTTTGACGGAATCAATCAATAATTATTGACACGGTGATGTAATTAAAATTTGTCACTGTTCACAACTCCTATTTTTTTTTCTATTGTTCAGCTGTATTTTCGACCAGTTTTATATGTATAAACAATCTTCTCTTGTATTTATAAACCAAACCTAAAAACATTATATAAGAACAAGCGTGTTTTTAAACCATAAGTTTTCTATTAAAACAACCATGCCAGTAAGATTTCAGCCGTAATATTACTTTAGTCACTCCACAGATTACACATCTTATATGCTGCAAACGGAGCGAAAGTAATGCTACTACGTCACGGCTGCCCCCGTAATTAAGGGCTGGAATGTTTTTGTGAAGGCAGTTTTCACCCCTCGCTGTATAATGACGGTCGCTAACCATATATGTGTATTTTTACTGTTTTTGGCTTGATTTGATTGTCCTTTGTTGAAAACAAATGTTCAATTGTGAAAGCAAACCCTTTTCCCCTGAACGTTAAAAGACAGCTGACTTTGTTTTTGTCTGAAATATCAACGTTGGAGTCGTTTATATATTCGGAAATCCATATTATGGTAAATATTTTTAATATAATACGGACAATGGTAAAATTCATTATAACAGTTTAAGTGCTATTCACAAATGTATGTAAATCTACTTCGTGATGAATGAAGCATGGCAATAAATGTATGCATCTGATTCTTCATTTGTTCTGTATTCTTTGACGAGAATGAGTTTCGTTAATGATGATCACTCTCACAGATTTTTTGATAAGTGGATAGGACTTTAACTGGAGAATAGTTATGAAAAATATAAATATAAGTATAGGCGGTCTATGCACATGTGGTGAAACTGATACCTCATTGATTTGCTAATCGGGACTTGGAAATCATAGTCTGTCATTAAATTGATTTTATAATATATGGTTTTGACTGTAGTACGTCCTGACATCATAATATTATGTGGTAAACAACTTATCTTATCTTATGTTAAGTAAAACAATTATTGATAACTTCCTGAATTCCAATTGGTTAATGAACAGAATTATTCATAGCTCTAGCGTGAGACAACAATAAATTAGATGTTACCAAAGATTGTCCATTTTATGATCTTAGGCACATGTCGGCGCACTTACATGTGAGCCGTCTAGACGACTGTCTGTTTTGCAGCTGCCATCCAGCCGAATACTTAATTTTGAGACCTATTAGTTGTCTCAGCACTACACAATCAGCAATCTAAAAAGCAACAAAAAATCCTCATCCTAACCGACTCCCTCAGTGGACTACAAGCCCTCAAAAATAAAAACACTAAAAACCACCCAAACTAATAAATCAAATACTCAAAAGCTCAAACAACTTAAGTAGGGCAGGTAAACAAATAGAGTTCATTTGGAACCCCGCCCACGTAGGAATCTTTGGAAATGAAAAGGCAGATAAAGCAGCAAAATTATCCCTTAAACTCCCAGAAATAAGTTTAAACTTACCCAGCTAACAAATCAGAAATCAAAAGTCTCAATAAACAAAAATATCAACAAAAATTGGCAAAATATATACCAAAACTTAAATAGCCAAATCAGGAAAGTACTAAAAAAAACCCTAATTAAACCAAAAATACTACACCCATCCAAAAAAAAGAATAATTACTAAAATACAAACAGGCCACACCAAACAAAATAATCACCGTAAAATAGCTTATCTACACACAACAGGAAACTGCCCACATTGCAAACAAGAAACACCAGAACACATACTCATTTACTGCACACACTACCAAACACACCGAACAACACTACAGACCCACCCTAAATCTTAAAACCGGACTTACACTAGAATCAATCATAAATCCACAAAATAAATTACAAAAATTCAAAGCCTTAGGTTTATACCTATTTAAAACAGGACTAATTAGTCGCATTTAAACCCCAAATAAAATAATAAAACCAAAACTACCTTATCTAACAACCACCCAACACACACAGCTCCCTTAGTTCGTCTCCCACCCACTCTTGGCATTCTTTCCAAATCTCAAATTTACAATATAAGCAATTCCAAATTGGAATGGACGCTATTTGGTCTGGTGTGAAATGTGATGTACCCCCGATCCTTCGGATATATTCTGATATAGATTATCATGGTATTTACAAGTCCCCTTTGTTGTAATCATATAATAAATACACAGCACCACTTGCAAATGGTTGTAAAGTGGGTTTAACTGATATCTGCTTACCTTGAAGAAAGAAGAAATGAAATCCTTAGAGTCCACCACAGAGGTATTCTGTCTTCCCTTCATGGAGGCCCCTCAGAACCATAACTTGCTCGAGCAGACCAGTGAAGACTCTCTGACAACAGTAAACAAGGAGCTTGTCTCACGTGACATCCCAACTCTCACGTGATTTGACAGGTTTAAATTCTTGAATTTGAAACTGGATATAACCTTTGCCCTCATCATACTCACGGGACTCAAGGGGAAATATACAACACTGTCAGACGAAACTGTATTCTGTCAGAAAAAAATGTATTCAAATTGGACGATTATTTGTGGTGTATACTGTTTATATGTTGACAATCTAAATTGTATTATAAGAAACAAGATGTATAGGGAATGTCACTGGATATCAAATCCACAACAAGCGTCGTTAACAGTTTAAAATTCCGAGGTATAATGTGTACAATATTTACTCAGATGATAATTATTTTCTTCACAAATGAAATCAATATCTCAAGTGCTTCCTCTTGCTATTTATTATTTATCGTTTTTATGCATCCGTCAAGTTAAGGAGGTGAGTGAGGTGTACCTGCTACCTATTGTATTCTGTAAACAATGAGGCCTGGACCATTCATCTCTCTGCTTAGTCATGTTGGGTCACGATGACACGCAAACAGCCACGTCACACTGTGGCCACCTGATTTTCTGTATTTTGACAGCTTGTGGTAGGTATAGCTGCTCTATGCAAAGAAGGTGCATTTTCTCTCTACTCGACGACCTACATGCTCACTGGTGTGTGTACAATTCTTATCAGATCCTGTTTCTAACCTGTTTGTCTGTCGCTTGTTATATTACTCTGTAGGGGGCACGGGTGGCCCAGTACATGTATCTACAAACATATATATATATATTTATACAGGGGCAAGGTTTTTGCCCACAGCAACACCTGTTTATTCACGCATGGTGTGACAGATTGTAATTGAACGAGAGCAGGCCGACTCTGTCATTAGATACAACTTTCTCCTAGGCGAGTGACATTGTGTACACGAAAGTAAACTGACCTAATTATAGCAAGAAGATATTTTACAGAAGGTATTAATCAATCCGCATCTACAAAGAGACAGCAACAATGAATTACGAAAACCAACATCATGAACGTGTATTCGTGAACAAATTAAAAAAAATCGTTAAACAATTGAATAACTATACGGTTGCGGGTTCTCCCTTGATACAACTCTTAATGGACATTTTGTTGCAGTATTAGGGATATGACTGTTAAGCATACACCAGAATCATATGCTATTACAATCAACAGGAATTCCAATGCAATGATGTTTGGTTAAAAGAAAACATGAAGGTTTCCCAAGTACCGTGACGAGTCAAATATAGCCACTTAAAGCTTATATTTTTTGGATATGAAATTTATACCTTTTCTATGGCAGCCTAGCATATCCTGTAGTAAGACATGGATTGTGAATAGATTACACATGCCGGATGACGCACGCCGTACAAAGACGGATGGCAAAGCGTTACATAAGCCTTTTGGACATCTTGCATGTATGGATATAAATTTAGCTAAAACTTTGCCCTAAATGGCTATAACATAGAAAACAAAATATTTTACATGGTTTAGGTTACAAACTTTACATTTTCTAAATTCACGAGGAGTTTTGAAATGTCGTCCCCGTTCAATTTCTGAATTGTGAGAACTCAGCCGAAAACGAGTCAATGTGGTCCTGAATGTATTTACAGTTATACTACTCAAGTAGTTCTCACGCGCAAAGGATGTTTTAAACTGTGCATAATAAGCATTTGTTGGCTTTCGCAAAGATCACAATGCCAAACCTGAAAACAAATTTTATTACCACATGTTTGAAAGTACCAGCCATCTTCTAATCTGAAAATAACAGTTTTAAGGTTTGTTACCCAATTTACGTGGCCTTGTTCATCGCACAACCACAACATATTGTAATAATTTAGGGGCGATATTTCACACATTTTAAAACAGCGAGCGACTGAATAAAACATCTGTGAGAATCGGTTCTATGTCACTGAACCCCAAATTTCTGGCCCGTATTAAAGTATTAGTGTTATCTTTGTATCTAAACATTTGAAGTAAAAGTGAGGCGAGTATGGTTTCAAAGAATTGATACTAATTAACAGGACCATGAACACCTTTCTTGCCTGAATTGCAATATTATTTAAACAATCGATCTAAGTCATCTATTGCTAAAATACAAGCCAAGGTAACTGTATCCAGTAACTACTTCATACGCATTTCCACCATAATACCATTTTTTCATAACGTGATAAACCTCCCCCATTTTTGAAAAACAACTGTTTTTGTTTTCGATAGATTTACAACAGTAATCATGCAAGATATTTAACTTAATTTGTATGTTGTTGACAGTATTGCCAAACACAACATGGTCTTCCGCAAATAGAAGTAGAAAAATATAAATAATTTCCGGATGTTTCTTAACACCAAAACGACAATTTTGTTCCATTTCGGTAACAAATTCGTTGATAAAAAATGAAACAAAAAGGGACAGAGCATACACCCTTGCCACACACCCATGAAGCAACACATATACCAGATACAATGTTGTTTAAACGAACATAAGCCTTACAATACTGTACATGGAGTGTAACATTTTTACCCATTCTAGCGCTCAAACCATGTTTGAACAATGGCTTCCATAGATGTCGTCAAGGCCAGCTGATTTATTATGTTTCTTGGCATTTATGCTTTCAAAAAGTTCTGATCTGGGGATTGGGGATTCTAATATGTCAATTGTCAGTTCTTGCACATAACCTAGACATGTAACTATGTCCTCCACCTCACCAAGATTATCCTGAATACCCATTGGTTCACAATTCAGCGACGAGAAATAGTCCCCCCTGTCTTGTATATCAATAGGGTTGGGTCGTTGCGGTCGTCCCATACACACGCTTGAGGTTGTCCCAGAAACGTGTAGAGTCTACCGCTGCTGCATTTTCTTGGTCACTCCTTTTACATTGTGCAAACTCCACACAGTTATCTGTATTCATTGCAAACTTTGTTATGCTAAATACGGTATGAGTTATCTTTAGTTTCTTCAGGTGCGCATTTAAATAATCGCACCGTTCATGCTTTTTTACAGAGATATTCATCATCATCGGGGGACATGTCACTAGATGCTAAACAATAACACTATCAAACTACACCCTAAACGCCGAATAGGGGGCACGGGTGGCTCAGTCGTCTGAGGCACCGCGATTCGCTGTGCAGAGTTGCGTCCCTTGGGCACGCCAGAAACCTATGATTGTGGGTTCGAACCCCGGTTCACCCCGATTATGTTTCTGGGCTCTGAACCCGTGCTCATGGGTTTCACCGAAGTGGTAAACGTCTGAGGCCTGCATCACTTCGGACTTTCCTCCCTAATTAAGCTGACACGCCGTGATATAACTGGAGTACTGTTAAAAGCGGCGTTAAACCCAACTCACTCACTCACTTAATGCCCAATAAACGTACAGTCACCGATTTGATAGTCAGTTCCAAATTATCCAATCACAATATGTATGGTCAGAATTGAACACATTTTCCAACGTTATTTAGTTATTTATCATATGAATATCTTATTAATACTTTCAACATGGTGAATAACATCTTTCTCCACAAAGTCCCGTATCACACCAGTTCTACTGTTCAATAGGTCTTCAGCAACCCATTCCTGCCGTAAGAGACAACTAACAGGATCCGGTGGTCAGAATCGCTGACTTGGTTGATGCATGTCATCATATCCAAAATGCGTGGATCGATGCTCATGATGTCGACCACTGTTTTGTCTGGTCCACACTCGATTATCTACATAACATATAGCTGGAATATTGCTGAGTGGGGCGTTAAACAACAAACAAACAAACCAAAACATCCAAGCACAATGACAGAAACAGCTGGATGCTCTGCCAGTGTACTCAGTAAAATAATAAAATAATTAAACCTGGTTATTGTTTATCATAAACTAACAATATTTTCACACACATTTAACTTTAAACGTCATACAGTTATTATCGATTGAGATATGTACGCATTATACACGTACATTGCGTTGCCACAATGCAACATTTGCCACACTGAATCATTCTGAACATAATATGGATTATCAATACGCCCGGCACATTATGATCCACTTAATGGTCAGTCAGTATTCACTGCTGAATTGGGGGCAATCAATCATTCACTCAAGCTCATACCAGAAGCCAAGAGAGTCATCCTGTCAGACCCGCTAAGTGCACTGCAATCTATCAACAGCGGAAACTCAAGCTCAAGACCAAACACAGTCAATAATATTCTATACGAATATACAAAACTATCGGACCAAGGGCAACTGTGTTGGGTCCCGTCTCACATATATTCATGGAAATGAAAAACACTGATACAGTAATGAATCTAGCTCCCGACAAAGCGGAGATACAGCCTATTCCCTTCAGTAAACTAGAGATATAAAGCAAAATCAAAACCTCCAACGTCCAAAGATCGCAAGCCCAAAGTGACTTAAGTAAGATCGGCTGATGGTTATACACAATTCAACACAATCCACCCAAGATCCACCAAATGAAAGAAAAGTTGAAGTAGTCATCTCTCGCCTCAGACTAGGTCACAAAAAACACAAGGTTTGTCCATCTCGCAATCAACCTGAGTCAATTGCTCACTTGCTCCTGGAATGTCAAGACCATGCCCCAGCCTGGCTCAGTTAAAACAAGAATTGCAGTAAGATCCGCTATCTGTGGTAGACCTCATAAAGCCAAGATATCCAATAGCGAAGGCCAAAATAACTCTATTTCTGAGAGATGGACAGCTACTCGAACCTATATAAACAGAGCAGCCAAAGATAAAAAATGAGATCATATCAATTCACGAAAATACAAAATTTTATCAATACAAAAACATAACTTTTTTTCGATACTAAAACTCAAAACAGATTTGTGTACTCTACTCACACACATGAGTCCCAAAGTGGGACAGGATAAACGAAATTGCGGAGGCTGAAGGCGACATCTTAAACACTTAATGCAACAACAACATTTAGTAACACCCGAGTTATTGGAAATTAAATATATTTACAAATTTTAATTTTGGCATTGTGAACACGACCGACAGCTGTCTCCCCATGCCGTTTATTGCGGGACATGATTGTGTAATTGTATCATTGTGTAGATCTCTCTGTTTATCTTTTTATTGATGTTAATCACGTCACTATCACTTTAGTAACACCCGACCTATGAATGTAATGAAAACATGTTAAAATCTCCATTGTGAACACCGCCGCGCCAGCCGTATATCTATGCTATTTATTTTGGTCCACAAAAGGCAAGAAGTGAGGTCTGCCTGAGCATGTTCAATTTTTTTTAGTTGCAATGACCAATCATTTATAATTGCATCAGTGTGTAGATCTTTCTTTAATCTATTTATTAACATAAAATACTTCAGTAAACTGTTTTCTGCAAAATAACAGTTCATTTTGAAGTATGAACAAACCACTTTCGTTCTTTAAATACCACAAGTTTATCAGTTGATATCGACATTATGTTGACAAACGGCCTGATTGTTAATAACTATCAGTTTAGATGTTTTGTACTATTGCGTTGTTTCAATTTTATTGTTTTTCATTTCGTACTATTCACTTGGATTAATACCTTAGAAATGAGGATTTTTTTTTAAACTCTAAGCTAGTTTACTACCTCGGAAATTGTTTGGCATATAGACAAGGAAACATAAAACAACATTTTGCATTTGCATATAAAAAATAACAATAAAATCTTAATCTGACAATGAGTCAATTTCTTGTTCTAAAAAGTTTCTGTTTGAACGTATGTGTTTTTGTCAATATCATTGCAAGGTGAGTAAGTCATACCGCTAACAGTCGCATATTAATTGAAACTCAAGGGCAGATTCCAGTATTGTAACACTCCAATATTACTGTTTTATTTCGAAGTTGTTGATAAAATTTGTCGATTTAAAAACACTTGATTTTGAAAATACAGAACAATTAATTATATAACAATAAATAGCAATTAAAAAGCCATATTGCGACTATCATCTTTACAAAATTGTTTTTGCTTTGTATATCTGATCTTAACCAAATTGGTAATGCTGTGTATATCTCATCAATACATAGCATTGATAAGCTTGTATAGCTGGACTGTTTTTGGAAGTGTAATCCAGAACAATGCATCGCCGATGACTGTCAATCAAAGATGGAGTATACAGTCTGCGATCAAGGCACAGGCTTACATAAAGCATACACAAAATACATAAATATTACAACACAAAGTAAACAACCTTCTGTCGAGTTGGATAATTCCCCAATCTTTAGTTTGTTGCTTCTTATATGTACTATTTTATGCAGTGTATTTATGATTATTTTATCGCCTGAACTCGTCTGACAAATGTTGTTTGAGATTGACAAATGCTGCTGCTGGTTTTATTTGATTTCATTCTTGATCCCTAGCATACAGTTCAATTTCCTGGGACTTCTATAGTCCACTAAAATGTTTAAGCAAAACGTTTTAAAATAATTTAGTGGTGTATGACTCTACAATTTATGCAGCGTGTCAATCATTCGCGTCACTTGAAGGCAATTTATCTCCATTCTACCGTGACAACACAACTTCTTTCTCATGCCTACTTATAGTGGAAGACAACAGACTGACTACATACTTTTCCCTTCGAAGTGGTCATAGAGTACTGACAATCGACTATTGCGTGTGTGCCAACACTTTGTTCCTGACCTTCTGGGGTTATGGATGTGGCGATCTCTGACCCTTTCTGTGAGTGAATTGTGATGTCCCCCCGACTCTTCGGATATATTCTGATAAAGATTATCATGGTATTTACATGTCACCTTTGTTGTAACCGTATAATGAATACACAGCACCACTTGCAAAAGGTTATAAACAGGGTTAAACTGATATCTGCTTACCTTGAAGAAAGAAGAAATGAAATCCTTAAAATCCACCACAAAGGTATCCTGTCTGTTGTATTCTGCCATAGGGCCTGGGCCATTCAGCTTTCTGCTTAGTCTCGTGAGCTCCCGCTGCGTCATTGTGGCACGGTGACACGCAAACAGCTACACCTGATTTTCGATGGGGTGAACTACATGTTCACTGGTGTGTGTAAAGTACATATCAGATCCTGTTTCTAGCCTGTTCATGTTAGCCAGTCCGTTGCTAGATTACTCTGTACTAAATATGGTGATTATCTGCCTGTCAAGGACAAGGTGTCAGTCTACTACAACACAAAGGTCTTTAAATTTGTTTTCGCAAAATATCCGCAGAATGTTTGTAAAACGTTTGCGTAGCTTCGCGGGGACTAGGCAGAATGTTTGTAAAATACACGTAGGTTTGTTAAATGTGATTATAAAACGTATTTCCTTTCAATTCTTTTCATTCAAAATGTCTTTGGAAATAAAATAATGCTTAAAATAGAGCTTACTTGGTGGGAGACATTAGCCATCTGAGACTGTATATGTGGACACACAGTTGCACCGATTACAGCATACATGTTGGCTCTTTGTTCAAGCAGGAATGTAAAGAAATGATATGTAACAAATCTCTGTGTACCAATTACATGTTGGGATGTTATCAGTTCTGCGTTCTGAGATACAATTAACAATACATGTATATAATAAAATGAAAAAAAATAAGTCTCTCATGGAATAATGTGGTACCAATCATTCGATAGGGTAAGAATCGTTGATGTATGACTGGACGAATCATCTATTCATACCCGAAACAAAATAACAGCCGGACTTAAGTAACAATTGAGAAATTCTAATTAGCAGATAAATTAGAGAAAGTGTCTTTGTCTGCTGCGGTGCGCCTCCAAACATACATTTTATGTAACACATCTGTTTGTACCAATTACATGTTGGGATGTTATCAGTTCTGCGTTCTGAGATAAGTTAACAATGCATGATAAGATTAAAAATTAACTCTCTGATTGAATAATAAGGTACCAATCAATCGATAGGACAACAATCGTAAAATGTATGACTAGACGAGTCATCTATTCATACCAGATACACAGCCGGATTTTAGTACCATTATACGATGATACACATCAGGAACACGAAGCAAAAACATGATTCGTTCTTTTCGTATATGAAAGCACCAATCCATCCTTCATAACCATTTTGCGTCTATATGCCTGATATATCCACAATCAACGAAAATATGTAAAAATGTATCTACAAATATATATTTAGAGGCAAGGTATTTTCCCACAGCAACACCGGCATAATTGTGTATTCAAGCGTAGTATGACAGATTGTAATTGAAAGAGAGCTGCTATTGTAGACGCACCTGTATATAAAGCCGACTCTGTAATTCGATACAACTTCCTCTTAGGCGAGTGTAGGGGCGGTGGGGTAGCCTAGTGGTTAAAACGTTCGCTTGTCACGCCGAAGACCCGGGTTCGATTCCCCACATGGGTACAATGTGTGAAGCCCATTTCCCCCGCCGTGATATTGCTGTAATATTGCTAAAAGCGATGTAAAACCATTCTCACTCACTCTTGCGCGACAGGCATTGTGTATACAAGAGTAAACTGACCTAATTATAGCAAGATGATATTTTACTGAAGGTATCAATCAATCCGCATATACAGAAAGACAGATACAATGAATTGCGATTACTAACATCATGACATTTTTTAAAAATCTTTAAACAATTAAATAACAATATACAATATTTTTTCTTAAGGATCTCTCTTACGGGTTAGACATTATATACCACATACTAGTGAGAATATGGGAATAATCATAAAAAAGTTTTTTTTTTCATGATTGTTCCAAAATCAAATCAAAAGCAGTTGCATTTACGAGGGGCGTTCAATAAGTTTTGCAACTTCAATATGAGACCAAGTTGCACATTTATTTTTTAATATAATGTCCATTCACCTCAATACACTTATTCAATTTGTCCTTCAAGCTTTTAGTACCACTTTTATAGAAATCCTCAGATTGGACCTCTAACCACGCCTCTGTGGCAGCCTTTATGTCCTCGTCATCCTGGAAGCGTCTTCCACGTAGGGCAAATTTCATTTGCTGGAATAGGAGTGAGTGAGTGAGTTGGGTTTAACACCGCTTTTAACATTATTCCAGTTATATCATGGCGTGTCAAGTCTCAGACGTTTACCACTTCGGTGAAACCCACGAGCACGGGTATGGTGCTGACAAACCTAGAAACATAATCGGGGCGAACCGGGATTCGAACCCACAATCATAGGTTTCTGGCGTGCCCAAGGGACGCAACTCTGCACAGCGAATCGCGGCGCCTTAGACGACTGGGCTACCCGTGCCCCCTGCTGGAATAGGAAATAGTCACTATGGGCTAAGTCTGGGCTGTAGGGTGGGTGATTTAACTGTTTGAATACACATCCACATATGGCAACCACATGCGACCATGGATTTGTTTTGCTTTGCATCCCTCCTTGGTAAGGAACGTTATTACCACGCGTTGTTCATGTTTGAGAGAATCCATGATTGTGACCACCCTTAGGTGACTGAAGCCATCACATCTAACGTATTGTTGTCTGGAACTTGTTATGACATGTGTCAACCTGATGTTATGACTAGTGTCACACCTGCAATAAGTTGACATTGTTTGTGTAAACACCAATGCCGAAATTGCAAAACTTATTGAACGCCCCTCGTATGTTCCACTATTCATTCAATTGTTCATCAATCGGTGGGAAATCATATCCCTAGTTTTCGAGCATCCCCGCACCCAAATATTGCCGATATACATGGTATACACCCTCAATGTAAAGTTCTACATTAGAAAACTCAAACCGCAGTGTACTTGTTGGAGTTTGTTGTGACCTGTGTCTGTGACTGGTTACAAATGATAGTGTACAACCTCTCGAGCAAAATGAACATGGATTGAAATCAAATGCTGACATAAGGGAGGTGATGGTATCTGAATCACAAAACAAGTTCCAAGGCTCATCCCTACTCGAAATATAAGTCAGGACATTGCGAAAGCTTTGATTTTTCACTTGAGTGTAATAACTATCTATATCTTGTTAAATACCAAACGTCAGAATAGTTAAACCTGGTTATTTGTTATCATAAACTAACAATATTTACACGTACATTTAACTTTTATTATCATGTGGTTATTATCGCTTGAGAGTTATACACATTATTCATGTACATTGCGTTGCCCAAATGCCACATTTGCCACACTGAACTGATCATTCTGGGCATAATATAAGAAGCACCAGATTACAGAGTTCACATTATTCTCAAAAGGGACATCAAACCGAATTGTAGTGTGACAAAATAATGCTTCAACTACCACCCCACACATTCACGAAGGCATTATTCGAATGTGCTGTTTAATATCTGGAGAAAAACACAAAGATGCACTGACGTAGATGCACTGACGAAAAATGATGTACATAATACATTGATTACAAACTCATACAAGATATAAAGTAGTTTATTTCTGTCTCACTTGCTTTACATGGACATATACTACAGCGTATGCATACTCATTATGTAACCTATAAAACAACCGATTTATGAGAGACATATACTACATTGTAGGCATACTCATTATGTAACCTGTAAAACAGCCGATTTATGAGAGACATATACTACAGTGTATGCATACTCATTATGTAACCTACAAAACAACCGATTAATGAGAGACATATACTACACCGTATGCATACTCATTATGTAACCTGTAAAACAACCGATTTATGAGAGACATATACTACAGCGTATGCATACTCATTATGTAACCTGTAAAACAACCGATTTATGAGAGACATATACTACAGCGTATGCATACTCATTATGTAACCTAAAAAACAACCGATTTATGAGAGACATATTCTACAGCGTATGCATATTCATTATTTAACCTATAAAACAACCGATTTATGAGCGACATATACTACAGCGTATGCATACTCATTATGTAACCTATAAAACAACCGATTTATGAGAGACATATACTACAGCGTATGCATACTCATTACGTAACCTATAAAACAACCGATTTATGAGAGACATATACTACAGCGTATGCATACACATTATGTAACCTATAAAACAACCGATTTATGAGAGACATATACTACAGCGTATGCATACACATTATGTAACCTATAAAACAACCGACTTATGAGAGACATATACTACAGCGTATGCATACACATTATGTAACCTGTAAAACAACCGATTTATGAGAGACATATACTACAGCGTATGCATACTCATTATGTAACCTATAAAACAGCCGATTTATGAGAGACATATACTACAGCGTATGCATACTCATTATTGAACCTATAAAACAGCCGATTTATGAGAGACATATACTACAACGTATGCATACTCATTATGTAACCTATAAAACAGCCGATTTATGAGAGACATATTCTACAGCGTATGCATACTCATTATGTGACCTATAAAACAACCGATTTATGAGAGACATATACTACAGCGTATGCATACTCATTATGTAACCTATAAAACAGCCGATTTATGAGAGACATATACTACAGCGTATGCATACTCATTATTGAACCTATAAAACAGCCGATTTATGAGAGACATATACTACAACGTATGCATACTCATTACGTAACCTATAAAACAGCCGATTTATGAGAGACATATTCTACAGCGTATGCATACTCATTATGTGACCTATAAAACAGCCGATTTATAAGAGACATGTACTCGTCGTATGCATACTCATTATTTAACCTGTAAAACAGCCGATTTATGAGAGACATTAGTGGTAAAATACAAAATGTGCTAAAACGTACATATATACAGATATAAAAGCCAGCAAAGTTTAACAGTATAGAAGGCCTAGTTAAAATGCCATGACATGTTCTCTTTCTCTTTCTCTGTGAAAGGTAAGATCAGGGTGGGCTAAAATAGTATTAAATATTACTCGGTTTGTTAAAATGTCAACATCTGGCCACATTTCTCAGCTAGCCTTCATGAGATGCCTGCCCCGATCTGTATAAAGAGGACATGTTAAGAGGGCGTGGTTCTCATCTTCAACGGCATTCATACAGGTGAAAACACAGTCTATTCTCTAAAGGAATGTTTTCATATAGCCCGGTTTCAATACAGGGCGGC